AGTGTAAACACAATGGCCCCGTCCGTGTAATATATTTTTAAACTTTTAGTTTAAAAATAATAAAAAACTTAAACAACCTACAGTATTTTACAGTCTTTATTTTACAGTTAAAATATATGTTTATCAAATAAAGTCTAATGTTACAACTAATCAGGGATCCTTTTAATGAAACGTTTCATTCTGCTACAGTCAGCAGTAATACAGTTGATGCATAACTTAAATAAACAATCCAACAAAACAATCTGTCTTATAAAAGTAATTTGTGTATGAAATAAATATAAACTTGTGGGTTCTCCTGTCAGGGTTTAAAGGGTCAGTATTATGTATTTTCCATGCTCATAGTTTCATTCTATGCCACAATCAAGTAACTATGTTACTTTCAGTTATGGAAATGCTGTTTAATATCAAAAATAAATATGAACTTTGCATCGAATCTAAACCTTGAAATTGGCCTCTATCTCTTTAAAAACCTCCTACCATTTTTGATACTCCCACTGCCAACTGTGCTCCAGTAATAAAATAATGTTAAATAGGTCCTCTGGACAGGTTCTTTAATGAAATGTTTTGTCTTTTCCAAGCCATTGCTTCAGTCGGAGGAGTTAAAGGTAGACATAGCCTTATAAGCAGAGGTGCACATAAGCAGTACGCAGGTGCGCTTGCGCTGTGAAAAAAGGAAAAAGCGCACCAGATGGGAAGTCATAAAGCTCCCTTGCGTACTTAAGATTGTACCTGGTTGTCTGTCAAAACAACAGCTAGCAGGGCTCTAGAGTGCGACCAGTTTGGTTGCAAATGCGACCTGATTTCTTAAAAAAAAAAAAATCCAGCGGCACTGGTGTGAATGGATAGTTGTTCGGTGCGCCACAGCGGGACCCTGATATAAGGATTAAAYGGAAACTGCCCTTCAACAAATCAGACAAAGTCCAGAGCTGTTTTGTCCAATCAGAGCAGAGCAGGGCGGGACTTTAAGTGAGAGCTTTTTGGTTGATGCAGCGGACCGGCTCGAGTCGATTCCAGCTGCTGCAGCGACGCGATCAATCCTGGCTTCTCTTCTCCTCCTGCACTTTGCTCCTGAACTACCAGAGACTTTGGTCTGTAAAACCTAACTTTATATTAAATATGTGTTCAGAATGTTGTTATTGAACAGATCTGTCCAACTCTGTGTGAGTGACTAAACTCTCCTCCTGAGAGACTGCTATATGAGCGTGTCACTGCGCACGCAGGCTGAGTCTTTCTGTGAGATTCACTGAGTTTTTCTAATTAAACCACCTTAACTAAGAACATTTGTTTGCCCCATATTAAAACAAAGATGATTCTCTGTTTAACACCCCAGTCAAAAACATTATACAGTGGGGAAAATAAGTATTTAGTCAGTCACCAATTGTGCAAGTTCTCCCACTTAAAAAGATGAGAGAGGCCTGTAATTGACATCATAGGTAGACTTCAACTATGAGAGACAAAATTTGAAAAAAAATTTGAGAAAATCATTTTGTCTGACTTTTAAAAAATTTTTTTGCAAATAATGGTGGAAAATAAGTATTTGGTCACCTACAAACAAGCAANCATTGGGCCCACCAGTCTGCCACAAAGTGAAAGGCAAATGGAAGCATGCAGATATATGTAAAAAAATAAAGCAAAAAGTAAGTATAGGAGATTGTACAGTTAGGGAAAAGTTTACAAATTTTGTGTTTAATGAAAATAGCATACTCAGATGTTTCRCTGAAGGACAAGGTCTGAAGAACARCCTAACTACTGAAAACAGTCTATATAGCCTAAACTTTTATTTGTGGGTCAAACAACAGTCTTTGGCTCTTTAAACCAGGTCTCTGTCAGAATAAGAACAGAAATCAGTGGTGATGTAACAGGTCAGTCTCGCTCACACTTTTATTTGGTCTCACAATTTTGGTTGCCCACACTCTTAATTGGTCTTGCTCGTGTTTCACTGGGTCTCACTCACATTTAAAACATTTGCTTGTGCACTCAGTTGGTTTTGCGTACAGCTCATTGGTTGCATGCACTCTCATCTGGTCTCGTGCACCGTTTCCTCTGATCTGTCAAACATACAGTATTTTCATCCATGGCTGCTTTTAGTGTTTCATAGTAACAGAGAGAGACTGGGACCGCTGTATTTAGATATATACTGTATAWATTGTAGATACAATATCTAAAATACACTATGTTTACCTTGTTAGGGTGCACATCCCCAGTGTTTGAGATGATATACGAGCGCAATCCTGTGAAGTCCAAGTTTGAGAGAAGACTTGAAGTGAACACTAGTCCATTAAACATAATCTAYAATCCTCAAGCAATGAAAAAAGTAACTGAGTTCTTCTATAAAGGAAGAGTTCACACCTCTGGTAAGTTGCATTTTCTGATGAACAAATGTTTACTGTACAAAAATATGTGCCTATTTTTCTSAACTTTTGACATTAAATCAGACTAAACCTTTTCTGTTTTAGATCAKTTAGGGTTTCCAGAACTATTTMTATTGGCTAAGTGCCCAAATATTGAATAAGAGATTTTTTAAAGAGAATTTATTACTTTTTTCCAAGTCACAAGATTATCATGCCTTTTAAACTATTTGGGAAAACCTGTATAATAATGTTAGAAAATGTTCTTAATTGAAAGTCCAGATAATACAGGAAACCCTTCAAATTTTTAGTTGGATATTTATTTTATGTCCGTCTGTCCGTCCGTTTTCTTCCGCTTATCCGGGATCAGGTTGAGGGGGCAGCAGCCTAAGCAGAGAGTCCGTTCCCTCTCCCCAGCCACTTTGGCCAACTCCTCTGGGGGAATCCCAAGGGATTCCCAGGTCAGCTGAAAAACATAGTCCCTCCAGCATGTCCTGGGTCTTCCTCTGGGCCTCCTCCCAGTGGGACATGCCCAGAACACCTCACCAGGGAGGCATCTACGAGGCATCCTAACCAGATACCCGACCCACCTCAACTGGCTCCTCTGGACGTGGAGAAGCAGCAGCTCTACTCTGAGTCCCTCCCGGATGACTGAGCTTCTCACCCTATCTCTAATGGAGAGCCCAGACACCCTGCGAAGGAAACTCATTTCAGCCGCTTGTATTCGCAATCTTGTTCTTTCAGTCACTACCCAAAGCTCATGACCATGGATGAGGGTCGGAACGTAGACGACCTATAAATCGAGAGCTTTGCCTTCTGGCTCATCTCTCGCTTGACCATGACAGACCGGTACAGCGCCCACATCACTGCAGACGCAGCACCAATCCACCTGTCAATCTCCCGCTCCATTCTTCCCTCATTCATGAACAAGACCCCGAGATACTTAAACTCCTCCACTTGGAGCAGGACCTCCTCCCTGACCCTGAGAAGGCACCCTACCGGTTTTCGGCTCAAGACCATGGTCTTG